AGCACTCCATGTTGGCTTGGGTCCCGTATACACCACCTCCCTTTCTTTAGGCCACTTTTGCCGTAGTTGCAAACGTTCGGGTATGGATGACCCGACTCGGGTGGTCGGCGTCTGTGCCCCGCATCCACAAAAAAATCTGCATCCAGCTGGTTTCGTTTATCCCCACCCCGCTCCCGAATTAATCCATTTGTCGGTTTCGGCAAGGAGAAACTCCTCCCAGAAATAATGCCAAACTCAAATGGGACTTGCTGACGAGGTAAATATGCTGTCTCAGGCGGTGTAGCGGCTGGTACATATGCTGTGCCTGTCTGATCCCGTTGCCCTCTACTAGGTTACGTGACTTGACCCCTCGTCTGGTTTGATTACACCTGGCGTCTATCCGGTTTGTGACCGGCCGGCAGTTCTTTGTCCATCCCAAGTCCACCTGATTTTAATGTCTCGCTGATTACGTGCTGTTTGGGTTGCGCAGGATTCTGTATGTTTCCGGATAGGTGATTCTCTCACTCCGGGACCGATTATGTCCCAAATTGACCCTGATTGAGGTTCCAACAACATTTCGCCGGTGACCTTCCGTTCCCAGCGGGGTGTGTGTGATTCGTACATCATAGGAATGTTGTATGCAATAGTCCCTGGGGCGTCGGCCTCGCCCTTGATAACGTGCCACGCTTTGGACGAGTCGCCGCCTCGTCAACCTGACCGTTCGATTGGGGTGAAAGGGGTGTGTGGTATTGTCCCACCCCCTTGGAATCGCCCGATGTTGCGAATTCTTCGCTAGTAAATTGAGGCCATTCTCGCTGTACTAATGTCACCGGCACTTCCGAATTCGGCTGGAATCTTTGCTGCCCACCTGTCTAATGTTGTGACAGCCGTGTGTCGTGGCTTAGGGTCCCACTTATTCTGGCCCACTTTCCTCATGAGCGTTCCATCCCGATGAGATCCGCATATACCCCTTCAGTGCTGCCGGCCCCTCTACCTGAACATCTCTGCACACGGCGTGGATCGGCTCATGCTGCTGGCAATGGCACCCCAGGGCCAGTTGATTGGGCATATTTGGTGATCGCACCGTTCTTCCCACCCCGCGATCCACCCGATGTGCGATCTCCACCCACCCCCTCCTGGCCACCTCCCGACCATCTCGCTCCTTGCAAATGGTGGGGAGCATCCTATGCTGGCCTTATGTAGCCGAAGGGAGCTCTAGGGCCGAACACCCTATCTTTCCCCCCCCCCAACCCCTCTCCCCTCCCCCCTCTACCACTCCATCACCTATAAAATTCCCCTTATCCACTTTTCATTAAATCAATCACCCCTATTACCAAAAAAATCACACAACTACTACATTCACCCATTCCTCAAATTTCCCATTACATTCCATATTCTATCTCCCTCACATCACAACCACAACCCACTCCCCCATCCTCATAAAACACAACACCACCCCAACCCCCCCACCACCCCCCCCCACCCCCCCCCCCCCACCCACCCCCACCCCCACCCCCACCCCCCCCCCCCCCCCCCCCACCCCAACCCCACACACAAACAAACAACACCAAACCCCCCCCCCCCCCCCCCCCCCCCCCCCCCCCCCCCCCCCCCCCCCCCCCCCCCCCCCCCCCCCCCCCCCCCCCACCCCCCCCCCCCCCCCCAAACCCACACACAACCCCCCCCCACCCCCCCCCCCCCCCCCCCCCCCCCCCCCCCCCACCCCCCCCCCAACACACACACCCCCCCCCCCACCCCCCCCCCCCCCCCACCCCCCCCCCCCCCCCCCCCCCCCCCCCCCCCCCCCCCCCCCCCCCCCCCACCCCCCCCCCCCCCCCCCCCCCCCCCCCCCCCCCCCCCCCCCCCCCCCCCCCCCCCCCCCCCCCCCCCCCCCCCCCCCCCCCCCAAACACCCCCACCCCCCCCCCAACCCCCCCCCCCACCGCCCCCCCCCTCCCCCCCCCCCCACCCCCCCCCCCCCACCCCCCCCCCCCCCCCCCCCCCACCCCCCCCCCCCCCCCCCCCCCCCCAAATATATATAACCCCCCCCCCCCCCCCCCCCCCCCCCACCCCCCCCCCCCCCCCCCAACACAACGAATATTATATATATATATATATTATTATATTTAACCCCAACCACCCCCCCCCCCCCACCCCAAAATCTGTGATCGATTGGTAATGGATGCTAAAATCGTAGGCCAGCAGGGATAGAGCCCATCTCTGTAGACGGCTGGCTGTAGTTGCCGGGATGCCTTTATGTGAACCAAATATGGTCAGCAACGGTTTGTGATCCGTCAGTAACTTAAAACGTCTACCATATAGCAATTTGTGAAATTTATTGACAGCAAATATGATAGCCAGGCCTATCTTTTCAACCTGGGAATAATTTTTCTCTGCTGATGTTAACGACCATGCCACGTGGATAACTGCTTTCCCAGAACCGTCTGGGAAAGTGTGGGACAACACAGCTCCGATGCCATAGTTGCTTGCATCGGCAGCTACCACGATTGGAAGTTTGGGATCGTAATGAATGAGAAGAAGATCGGAAGTCAGCATATCTTTAATCCGATCTACCGCTGCTTGACCCTCTGCTGACCAAGTAAACTTGACCTCTTTCATGAGTAATGCGTTTAGAGGTGCTCGCAGTTGATGCATTTCCGGGAGAAAATTAGAATAGTGGCTAACCATGCCAAGAAAAGAGCGTAGCGTACTGACGTCTGTTGGTGCCGGCATGTTAAAAATAGCTGAAATATTAGCTGGGTCGGGACGACGTCCATTCTGATCAGTAATGAACCCCAGATATTTAAGCTGTGGCAAAAGTAAGCTGCATTTGTCTGGTGGCAAGCGCAATTCGTACTCTTTTATACGATCCAAAACTTGGTCGAGCCTCACTGCTAGCTCTTCTGGACTTGTTCCGACCACCAAGGTATCATCTAAGTAAGCTGCAACGCCGTCAATGCCCGTGAGCATGGTATACATAAGCTGCTGGAAAATAGCTGTGCTGTTTTAACCCCGAATGGCAATCGGTTAACCTGAAACGATCCAAGGTGTGTGTTAATTGTCAACAATTCCTTCGACTCATCGTCAATGGCGATTTGTAGATAGGCATCAGCTAGGTCATGTTTGGCAAACAGTCTGCCGCTTGAAAGTTTGGCAAAAATGTCTTCTGGGGCTGGCAGGGATAACTGTGTGTCTAAAGGGCGTCACTGAGACTCGCTGAAAAATCTGCACACACACTAATTGAGCCATTGGCCTTTCATACCACTACGATTGGAGCAGCCCAGTCCGAGTAATCGACTGATTGTATAAAATCTGCTAGCTGTAGGCGATCCAGCTCTAGCGCTACACTGGTTAATGCAGAATAAGGCACCGGACGTTTAGGACGAAAAACGGGTTTAGTATCTGCTCTCAGCTGCAATTGAGCCTTCATTTTGCTACAAAGACCAAGTCCTTCCTGGAAAACTAGTGCATATCGCGGAGATAACCGTTGTGGAATGGACTGCTGTAGCCCTGCATCGATTATTACGGGAGGAATGCTGATGCCCAGTGTCAGTTTGCAGGCTTTATCAAACGGAATACTCCAAAGATTGAAATTATCTACCCAGTCAATGCCGAGAATATTCAATCCTGGTTGGTTAGTGAGGTAGAATATGGACTCAAATTTTTGACCATTATAAGATACCAAGCAACGTAACTCACCAACCAAACCGAGAGTTGTTCCGGATGCACTGAAGGCTGTGTGTTGAGTAGGCATAACTGGAGGACGTCTGATGGATTCCCAAATCGTTTGCGAAATAATCGTAATGTCCGATCCTGTGTCTACCTGGAGAGTCGCGGGATACCCGTTTACACTCACTGTTGGATAGCGTCTTCGCGGTGTCGCGTTGACTTGATAGCTAGCAACAATGCTGCGACTAGCTTTCTTCGGTGGTTTCGGAAACCGTTTGTTGGAATTGTCAGCTTTAGTTGAGTTGCGTGGCTTGCAGAAACCATCTTTGTGACCGAAGCGTTGACACTGATTGCAACGATGTCGGCGAAAAGCGCACTGTGAGGCGTAGTGCCATGCGCCATAGTTCCAACATGCTGTTGGTGGCTTTTTGGATTCCTGTTTGGGTGCTCTGACCGGTCTGACATCTGCCATGTTGATCTGCTGCTGTTCCACCATACGGGAATCATGCTTCAAATTGATCAGGCGCTGACATTCCTCAGCCATTTTCTGCAACGTTATGTCTGGGTCTTGCTCCAGTCTGGTGAGAAGACGTGTGCGGATGTCCGCGTCTGCCAGAGATTGTAGACCACAAATAGACATGAGACACTTGAACTGTGTCTCGGTCATGGATGCAAGTTTAAAACGCTCACACTCGCGGTTAACGATACCTGCGTAGGTAATGTAGTCGTCCATGGAGTGCTTGACGAGTTTTAAGCAATGATAACGTGTGCTGCAGAACGAGGAACGTTCGCCAAAAATTTGTGTGAGGCACTGAACCGTGTCATCAAAAGAAAATTCGCGTGGGTGTTTGGGCAAAATATAGTTTACGGAACGATCATGCTCCGTGATCCCCAACTTACGAGACAGTGTTCGTGATCGCCATGAATCCTCCTTCCCACCGAACTCAACACGAAAAATGTCCTTATAGCGCTTGAACCAGGACTCAAAAGTAACACACGACGCAACGTCATGCTGGAAAATCTGAATTGTAGAAACAATTGATTCAATGTTGGTATGTTCATCTTGCAGTGCCTTGTCCTTGGAAACCAGGGAGAGGTTACGCGTTAGAGTATCGAGTAAACGGAGCTGAGCGACTTCGAACTGCGACTACTGTTGTTAAAGAATTGCACGGAGATCGTCTGCTGAAATTGCCATCTTAATTACCAATTCCGTCGCCAGTTGATATAACCCGAACTGATCTAGTAGGTGGATAGAATACTAGATCGTGGAAATGACCGGTGGTATTGATACAGCGGGTCAAGAGATACTGACAAGCAGAGTCAACAAAGTGTCAACAGGAAGTTCACGTGTTTACCAGAATCACTGGGGTATATCAGTTTGGTTGGTTCCAGCTTAGTGGTGATTGGCTGGACAGTTGTATGGTCTGATTGGATGACAGCACTCCATGTTGGCTTGGGTCCCGTATACGACATTATCATTCAAAAATGTCTACTAGTTTCACTGGCAACACTTCCGTTGTCACAAATTGTTTGGTGAATATCTTGCTGCACCGATTCTCGCTCCTGTTGCTTTGCTTCCTGTTTTTGTAGCCTTTACAACACACGTTGGGTTCAGTCGCCTCAGACTTATATACCGATCCTTATCTGACATGACTCTTACGTGTTACCGATTACAGACGCGTATAACAGACGCCACTCACGTATAGGCTACCCCGGTCTAGAACACGTTGCCCTCCATTCTGAATTTTCATTTTGATCAGCTCGTTCCAGTGACTTTGTGATTCATTGCTCGTGCTCATTTTGTTTTCTCACCTACTACGATTTTATGCGCTTTGTGCAATGGAGTATATAAAAGAGAAGCTATCTCCATACGCGGTTAGCGCCGTAGAGCCTATCCTGGTCAATGTAGTTGCGTTAACCACTCCACCAATTGGGAGTATAATACTTCGTTATGGGTTTTGTACTCAAAATCCCTTGTTACATTTATAGGATTACATCTGATTTCGTTATCTATAATCAGCGAATATCGCGCCTTCCTCAGAGTATAACCTCGCAGGCGAAAGACATCATATTTTGCCCCTTTTTGTAATGAAATACGGGCATTTAAAACAGCTTATTATTCAACGGATCCCGCCTCCTGATAATGTCCGTCTGTAGCGACTATTTAGTGATCTCCAACAATGAGATAGGATGATCTCAGCCCGGTTGCGCGAAATGCAACGTCTCAATGGCAAGTCCAACTTAGACACAGGGATTCTCCGCGAGCTGTTGATGCAAAGCCTTCCTGAAAGCACTCAGACCATTCTTGTAGTAGCAAGCGAATTGCCGATCACGGCAAATGCATATCCAGTAAACCGTGTCATCGAACGGCACCAGTCAGAGACTGAAACCTGAGTACCAAAGCAACTCTGCGCTGGCGCAACCACACCTACACCCGTGACTAGCCAGCCGTCGGCAAAAGACGCGTTATCATCGCAGATAGCGTCACTTCAGTGATAGATGAAGTTCCTTTTAAACCGTAGGCACTGCAGCCGCTCTGAATCATTGCCCCGTCGCACAAAACCCGGTGCCCAGGATTGCTGCCTTTATCACTTGCGTTTCGGTAATAAAGCCCGTAAGTGCGTACAGTCTTGCAGCTATCCCGCTACAGATGATCCGCCACGCCGGCATGTAATGGCTAAGATCGCCGTCTGCAAAACTCAAAGCTGTCTCATCTAAAATAGGGATTATTATTCCGAGACCCAGTGCTTCGTTAATACCGGGGCGGAAGTCAGCGTTATTCTCCTATGCCAGGTGAGTCTACCGCCCCTTTTTGACAAGCCTGAGTGTTACCAATGGTACTCCAATATCCACCCAGGTCATCAGTCGCTTACCCTTGACCTAGGTTTTCGGCGCACGTTCCGCTGGGTATTCACCGTCGTTGCAGTCCCCTTTACCATAATCGGCATTGACTTTCTCAAGCATTTCGACCCCTTGGTAGATGCGAAGCGCCTGAGGATAGTCGACGCTGCAACGAAACCCAGTGAACGTAGCATCAACACCGACAGCGCATCTATGACAAGCGTCTGCGCCTTTCCCCAGACCTCTCCAAACTCTTTTCCCAGTATTCCAAGCTCGTACTGCCAATAAACACAGTTTTGCTCGTGGCATCCCAAGCCATGCACCACATAATGATGAATGGCCCACCAGTCTCATGCCGTCCACGCCAACTTCCATAAGAGAAAAATAAGGTAGCTATTGCGAAGTTTGAGCACATGCTCGAACGTAGAGTAAGCCGCCATTCCAAGAGCACTTGGACCTCTCCCCGCAGATGGTCCCTAGGAATTCTGGAGGCTGGCGCCCTTGCGGTGGTTACCGCTCATTCATCAGGCTAACCATCCCAAATAGGTACCTATCAAACGTATGTAGGACCTTACCGCATGCTTCACAGGTAAGACAATCTTCAGCAAAATCGGTCTGGTTCTTGCTTAACACCAGACATCTATGGAAGATATTGATTTTTCTAAAACAGCCGTTATCACTCCTTTCAACTTGTTTGAATTTTGAAATTTGCAACGCCGCACAAACCTTCCAACGCTTTATCCACAATGTCTTTCGTGACCTGGACTTCGCTTATTCCGACCTCGATGACATTTGGTAACCAGTTCATCGGAAGCAGTGCACCTCGACAACCTACTAGCTCTCCTCCAACGCTTGACCCAACACGGTGTCACAGTCAACCCGACTAAGGGGGAACTCGGCAAATCAACGATAGAATTCCTAAGCCACTTCGTTTCATCGTCCGGTATCGAAATGCTTCCTTATAAGATACAGGCTATTAAGGATTTTCCAATTCCGACGTCATTCAAGCATCTCCGTCCATGCTGTGGTTTGGTCAACTAGTATCGACGCTTCATACCACACTGTGCTCAACGACTGTAGCCTCCGACTGAACTAATTAGAGGGACTGAACGTGTTCACTTTCCCAGACACAGCACAAACAGCCTAGACCGAACACAAAGTTGCTATTTCCAACAAAGCTATCCTCGCTCATTCTGAAGCAACTGTACCCCTTTCTATTACGACTGATGCCCCAGATGTTGCGGTGAGAGCTGACCTCCAACAACACGCTGGTGGGCAATGGCAACCCCTTTGGTTCTTCTCCAAACGGCTGCAGCCAGCGGAATCCAACTACGACACGTTTTGCAGAGTTGCTCGTCGTCGACCTAACTATTCGACACTTCCAAGACACACCCGAAGGCTGTGATTTCACGGTCAACACTGACCATAAGCCCATCATCTTCGCCTTCAAGCCTGCCACCGGCAAACACTCACTCCGGGAAACAAGACATCAAGACTTTGTCACACAGTTCACTGATGACATATGCCACGTCTCAGTTGTCGAAAACCTCGTCGCCGACGCTTTCTCACGCGTCAACCTCACTCTCCAGTATTTGTCTACCGTCTGCCTCGCCGTCATGGCATCGGCTCAGGCTCAAGATGAAGATATACAACGCACTCTGTAGTCCGCGTCGCTGCGGTGCAAGTAGTTCCTCTCCAAACCACGGTAGGTACAAGGGCAGTGTTCCGGGACGTGGTGGGTTTCTGCCTGACAAGCGTTCGCCTATAAAACCCATAAATGTCTGCTTCAAAACACTGCGACGTGGTAGATGTGACTCGCCATCTAACATAGTCACTGCCTGTTACAGTACACTGGCAAGTCTCCCTACTTCACATACTAGTAATTCTGATGCACAGGCCCACACATGTTTGCATACTCTCGTTGTATATATTTAATACCAAATTATTAATAAAGCTGTAACTATGTTGTTTCCTACAAGTAAAGTTTACATTTACACGTTCCTCAATGTAATCTAGCCTGAAGTTTGCGAAACGTCAATGTTTGTGCAAGTTTGAGCATGCTTTGTTCGGCATGCCTCGAAAAATTAGAGAATAAAATATTATATATATTTTTTGTCCGCCGTGGCACTTCCACAGGTTGTCCTAAAACCCTCGTGCCCGTCTCCTTCCGACGCACAGTCTTCGACGCACTCCACGCGCTACCACATCCCAATATCCGTGCATCTTTGAAACTGGTCGCTAAAAGTTTCGTTTAGCCACGCGTAAACAAAGACGTTCGTGCCTGGGCTCACGCCTGCCTTCAATGCCAACGCTCCAAAATGCATCATAACACCTGCAGTCCGCTTGGTTTACTTCCCTCCCCGGACTCTCGGTTCTCGCACGTACACTTAGACCCAGTAGGTCCCTTGTCTCCGTCACGCGGATTCGTAAACATTCTTGCAGGTGAAGACCCCTTCACCAGATGGCCAGAAGCCATTCCATGAACAGACTGCACAGCTGCAACAGTTATTCGGGTATGCTTAGACAGGTGAGTCTCGCACTACGGATGACCATCCACCATTACAAGTGACCGTGGAACGTCAGTCAAGTATTCACAATTCGATTTGCTTTGCAAATTTTTAGGGTGCCGCTGCATTTATACCAAAGCACCTCACCCAGTTGCTAACGGTTTAGTTGAATGCTTACATAGACAGCTAAAAACTCCGCTCTGCGTAAGTTTCGATAGTACTCTTAAGCATTCGCAGCAGTATCAAAGCTTACTTGCAATGTGCACCGGAAAACCTGGTTTACGGCTAAACGCTCAAGTCACTGGGAGAATTCGGTTCGTCTCCCGCATCGTCCAGTATGTCTCCGTCTAACTTTGCTTCCTGCCTAGCTCAACACATGCGTTTACTAAGCCCGACTCCGCCCCGTGAGCAGACCAGAGATGTGCAAATGCACGGCGGACCCTGTATCTGCGCTCACGCCTTCCTCCGCATCGACGCAGTGCGGCGCCGTCTCCAGTCTCCCAACACTGGCACTTTCAGAGTCCTGCAATAGACTCCGAAACATTTCACTTCAGACCAGAATGGTCACCGGAAAACAGTGTCCATCGACCGCCTCAAAGTGACTTCCTCTGACGAACTATTTGCAACCTATCCTGATGCAAGTACACAAGAACCCCCAACTGCGGTGACTTCCCGAGCGCAGGTTATCCCGAAACCCTCCGTTCCCTTTGAAGTTCAACCAATCCCGCATCCATCCCAGGCAACCGACGCGGTAGACAGGTCAAACGTACGGCCCATTTTATAGATATTTCAAACATTTGCTATTTATAATGACACGCCTTTTTCGTCTTTAGTGGTAATCATGCTTCTTGTCCACAAATGTTCGGCAAAATCGAAAAACCCAAATATTTTGAAGGCCTAAAAGGCGTATTTGCCCTTAGCATGCATATCATGGCATGCTTCTCTGGCGTTAAGCAAAATCTCCGGCATCTTGCCCACCCCCTTTGAGTTCTACCTTCGGGAAACGCAACCACCGGAACTACCAAGATAATTCTCCATTGATTCTTCAACCAGTTCAACACAACCATCGAATGAAACGCCAGCCAAACAAACGCGACCCCTGAGTGACTCGCCAGCCGGCTTCAGGCCCTTCCCGATCCAAGGAACAGTCAGTCGCCATCGACCGTGGACGACCACGACCAGATTGGCTCCTAAACGCCTGGATACGCGCTGCCGACGAGGACGTCGGATTTCTTCGTGAGAAGAGGACCGTGGACTGGAGTGCTGTGAGGGTTGTGACACTTCCCAAGCGCACCGTCGGGCCTGCAGCGGAGGGAAGGTCCTGTCCGCATTTTCAGTGGACGAGCCACTTTTTACAGTGTGACCAGGCTGCCCCGACGGCCCACCGGCGATTCAAGCCGGTCTACACGGTCATCTTAAATAATAAATAACAAAACCCTTGACCCAGCAAACTACGCTACACACCCCAACTTGGAAGCCCGTGTGCAATCTCATGCAACTATTCGCATCCTTTATAACATCCTGTTTTCCCCCACTAACAGCTCCATTGAGGGCTTCCATCCTTCAGCCTTCTAGGGGGAGGCCCTTGTAGTGTATCTGAAAACACATTTTCAGTATTTTGCAACATTGGATTTGACCGTTGTTTTAACCTTTAACGTTCACGTGTTTTACTGACGACACTTCCGTTGTCACAAACTGCTTTGGTGAGTACCATGCTGTATCATTTCCTGCTCCTGTTTATTCGATTTCTGTTTCTGTAGCCTGCACAATACACATTGGGTATAGTCACCTCCAACTTCTATACTGTCCCGTACTTGACACATCTCTTACGTGTCATTGATTACCGACCAGTATCCCAGGCACCAAATAACAGAAGCGAGAAGCTGAGGACAAGTATGAGCAGAGGGGATTAAAGACGTGTAGATATGCTTTGGTTTGCTTACAGTGTAAGAAAGCGCAAAAGCCGGGTAAGGATATTATTGCTTGTGGTTGGTCAGATGAAACACTCCCGCACTCTCTCAATGATCCCAAATGCCAAGGGGGACATTGACTAAATGGCGTTAATGACAACACGTCCTGGAACGGTGTCGCACAGGATCGTTTGGTCGGTATTTGGAATATGAACGGGTTGTACAGGCAGCGAAGCATACTACACACCAAGAACGACCTTGGCGCAGTTTTCAATAGTTGAAGCATGAGCTGTGCTGTGTGAAAAGTTTCGAGGCCTAGTTTCTCGTGATATATCTCAGATGAAGAGCTCAAAAGTAAGATAAAGTCAGTGTAGGACATGACTCCGCAATCATTTAGTTTATGACGAAAGTAGCTGATTGCAGGATACGGGATAGTACTGCATCAAACGTTTTGTGGTGGGAGTTCGCCGATTGCAGGCGTCTGGGGAAAAAACCGAGAGGCTGACGCTGCCCGCCAGCGTGTTTGCGGGAGGGCAGGTACAATGGCAATAGACGAAGCATCAGCCGTAATGAGGCAAGGAGCTAATAAGGCGGAATGCGACAATAGGCTATGCTGGAGTTGGTATCCAAATTCCAAGATATGCGCGCTATCTCATGGAAAGCGATCGTAAGCCCAGCTCACCTGGACAGGATGTCAACTAAACTCAACGGAGCAATCTGACCAAAGCGTTGAGTAAATATAAATTTAAGCCCCAACAGGAGCCATTGATGGAGTCCTACTCTAGCCACAACCCACTCCGCAAAAATGAGCACAAACAAAGAGGAACACATAAGGGGATTCTTGTCCCATATACAACATTCGGCCGAAAGGGACCAGACAAACTTCCAGGAAGCACCGTAAACCCATGATCTTCTCACATGGACCACACAACTATTATGGCAACACATCTTCTTTATGACCGCAAGCCAACTGAACCATGTGGTGGACTGTGTAGCAGTCTGGAGATTCCCCGGTTTGCCTGTGTAAAATTCTAAAATTATTTCATTGTACACCTAGGCAACCAGTGTGGTTTGTTGAACTGATTGCTGAGTTCGAATGCTTGACTTGCTCGCCGCCATTTTTGCTTGGCGCTCGTTTCGGTTGCAACTCGCATCTGCCCTGTGTGCTGAGCATTCTCCGTTCCCCTAGCTAGAGCGTCCACGGTGTCGTTCTTTTATAGCTAGATAACAGGGAATCTTTTACTGTACCAATAAAAGTTTCCCTGCAGCTCGATCCGTCTTCTCGAATCGCTCTCTGGGCTCCCGGTACAGGCGACCCTCGAAATTGGTGACCCCGACTAGGGAACAACTTCATCGCCGGATATTTGGAACTTTTCTCTGGTGAGCTCGTTCCATTTATTTTCCATATTTTCCGGTTTATTTTTGCACACGGTAGCCTATTTTTTGCGTCATTTTTAAGCCATGGATTCTGTAGAACCTAAGGTGGAGTCTCTCCTTAGCGTTGTATCTCTCTCTGTACCACCATTTTGGGATATGGATCCTCTTTTGTGGTTCGCTCATCTTAAGGCTGAGTTTTACAACCACAGAATCACTTCCGACTACGCGAAGTATTGCAAGCTCCTGTCCTATCTCCCCAGAGATATCAATGCAGGTTCTCAGACCGAAAACCGCTATGAGGCTCTCAAAGAGGCCACGATTAAGCGTGTTATGCCCTCTGAGAAAGTTCGCCTGCAGCAGCTTTGCAGGGATCTGCAGCTGGGCGACAAACTGCCCTCAACCCCGCTACGAGAGATGCAGCAACTCCTTAGTTCCTCCACCATGGACGAGACTTTACTTCGCGAACTATGGCTACAACGGCTACCGGAAAACACGCAAGCGATTCTCGCTACAGTGAGCTCCGTTTCGCTCGCTCAACTAGCAGATTTAGCGGATCGATTTTTTGAACGATCACAGCCACAAGCCGACGCCAGCAAGATCAATGCCGTCGTGTCCCAGGGCACTTCTATCACTGGCTTACAGTCAACCATAGAAGCCCTCCAAACACAAGTTGCGACACTTAGTCACCAGGTTCAACGGCTTACTACGAACCGTCGTCGTCATAGCTGCTCAAAATCACCCTTCAAACGTTCCAAGTCCAGCAACAGGCAGGCTAGCTGTTGGTACCATCAGCGCTTTGGTACCGCAGCTCGTAAATGTGTCAAGCCTTGCAACTTCGCCGAGCAGCAGGGAAACTTCTCGGCCGGTCCGTAACGGCGACGGACGCGACCGGCCAACACCAAAGTCGCCTCATCCGAGTTAGGGATTTAACTTCCGGCACCGAGTTTCTGGTAGACACAGGAGCCGAAGTTAGCCTTATACCCCGTAGCCCAGATGAGGTTGTCTCTCCATCGCTGACCAAGCTGCGTGCCGCCAATGGCACACCAATCGCAAGTTTCGACGAAAAGCTGTTGACGCTCAATTTAGGCCTTCGGCGAACCTTTCGCTGGGCTTTCCTAATCGCTGCTGTGCTTTTCGCTATCATAAGCATAGACTTTCTGCAACACTTCGACCTCATCGTTGACGCTAAAAGGAAGAAGCTTATCGACTCTAGGACACAGCTTAGTGTTATCGGGACTAGCGCCAACGTGGCTGCCATCACTTCCATTCGTGTCCTACCTCAAGCTTCACAACCTTTTATAGAACTTTTCAACAAGCATCCTAAACTCGTTCGCGTCCTGAACGACTTGCCTCCTGTGACGTCAAACGTCATGCATCACATTTGCACTAAGGGCCCACCTGTTTCGGCCCGCCCTCGCCGATTAGAACCGGACAAGCTCAAAGCTGCGAAGGCGGAATTCGAGCAAATGTTCGAACTGGGAATAATCCGCCCGTCCAAAAGTCCATGGGCATCACCATTACACATGGTGCCTAAGAAATCCGGTGATTGGCGCCCCTGTGGTGACTACAGGGCACTTAACAAAGTTACCGACCCGGATAAATACCCCATTCCGCACATGCACGGCTTGACCTAAGCTCTAGCTGGCAAGTCTATCTTTAGCAAAGTCGACCTAGTTCGCGCCTACCATCAGATACCCGTCGCGCCAGACGACATCGCTAAAATCGCAGTCATCACGCCATTCGGCCTATTCGAGTACCTCAGAATACCTTTCGGCCTCAGCAACGCTGCCCAAACTTTTCAGCGTTTCATTCATGAGGTAACGCGAGGACTCGAAGGCGTTTACCCTTATTTAGATGACATACTCATCGCCAGCTCTTCTGACGAGGAGCATCTTCGTCACCTTGACGCTCTCTTCCAACGCTTAACACAGCATGGGGTTACCGTCAACCCCGATAGATGCGAGCTTGGCCAAAGTTCCATCGACTTTCTTGGCCACCACATATCCGCCTCTGGTATCGAAGCTCTGCCAGACAAAATCCAGGCTCTGAAGGATTATCCTGCTCCCACTTCCTTCAAACAGTTACGCCGATCCCTTGGCCTGGTCAACTATTATAGACGCTTTATTCCTAACTGCGCGAGCATTGTTCAACCAATGACTGACTTGCTCCGCGGTAAACAACGGTCTTTTCATTTTACAGATGACGCGAGACTCTCTTTTGAGAAGCTCAAAGACGCTATCTTCAACATAGCGCTTCTCGCCCATCCAGACACATTTGCCCCGCTCTCCCTGACAACTGACGCATCCGACACTGCCGTCGGTGCAGTTCTTCAACAACCCGTCGACCATCGATAGATACCACTAGGTTTCTTCTCGAAAGGTTTACAACCTGCCGAATCGCGTTACAGTACCTTCGGTAGGGAACTGTTAGCTATCTACCTAGGTATCAGACATTTTCGTCACTATCTCGAAGGTCAACATTTTACAGTCTTCACTGACCACAAGCCATTGAGCTACGCAATCAATGGCGCAACGGACAAGTATTCTCCGCGGGAAACTAGACACCTAGACTACGTTTCTCAGTTTACGACAGACGTACGACATGTCTCAGGTGCTCTCAATTCCGTTGCGGATGCGCTTTCACGCATTCAGCAGATCAGCTTATCGCCTGGCACCAACACTGATCTACCCGCTATGGCTGCTGCCCAACAAGCTGATCCCGACATAGACAAGCTACGAGGCAACATCTCGTTGAAACTACGCGAAGTCCCTCTAGCTTCATCTGGGGGGACCATTCTTTGTGACGTCTCACAAACTTCTCCCCGACCCGCAGTTCCTACTTCAATGCGTCAACTGGTTTTCAATGCTTTACACAACCTGTCTCATCCCGGCATACGTGCTTCGCAGAAGCTCGAAACGGAACGCTTCATATGGCTCAACGTCAATCGCGATGTCCGCCTTTGGGCACGCGCATGCTTAGAGTGTCAGCGCGCCAAGGTCTACAGACACACCAAAGGCCCACTTGGCGTCTTTCCCGCTCCTAACTCTCGCTTTGCACACGTCCATGTCGACCTGGTCGGACCTTTGCCCCCATGCAAAGGCTACGTGTACCTCCTCACCTGTGTCGACCGATTCATTCGTTGGCCAGAGGCGATTCCGATAGTCAACTGCTCATCTGAGACAATTGCCCAAGCTTTCCTAGAACACTGGGTAGCTCAATTTGGTTGCCCAAGCGTAGTCATCACTGACAGAGGATTACACTTCGACGGATCCTTCAGCAAACTGCTCAATGTTCTTGGTTGCCAACACAACCGAACCACCGCATACCATCCCGCAGCTAATGGGATGGTAGAAAGGTTCCACTGGCAACTCAAAGCATCACTCTGTGCCCAATCTAGCACATCCTGGCACAAAGCACCTCCGCTCGTTCTCTTAGGCATAAGAAACACGATTAAAGCGGATTTGCACGCCACTCCATCGTCGCTAATCTTTGGATGCACACAACGCTTACCTGGTGAACTCGTCTCACCAAAAGCACCAACAACCTTTGACTATAGCGACTACGCAGCTCGCCTATCTCATCACATGCGACAGCTTCAGCCTGTGCAACTCAGAGCACAGAGCTTGCGTACCAACGTGGACGAAAGATTAACTACTTGCACGCACGTATTCGTTCGCACTGACAGCGTACGCCGACCACTTCCACCTCGCTATTCTGGTCCGTACCGTGTCGTACGCAGAAACGACAAGATGTTTACCGTTGACTACAATGGTAAGACTGAGACGATCGACTCAAGCCAACCTTCATCGACAAGTCTGACTCTTCGGTGCAGCAAGCACCTTCACAGCCTGTGCCATCACAGCTTGCACCGCAACCTCAGACGAGTCAGTCCGGTCCAGCAGAACCGACAACCTCAACCGACAGCACTCCTACTCGCCATACTATCAATAGACGCGGTAGGAAACTCAAACCCCAGTTCGTTTTCCAGACTTCGTTAGCACTTACTATTTTACATAGAACATGCCTCTGAGATTTTCTGCTCTTACCAAACGTTTTTGAAAATCCACAAAATAGACCAAAACGTTTTGAAACTACCAAAAAAGAGCAAAACCTTTTGAATACCCAAAAACAGGTTCGCACGTTTTTTGCTTCGCAATCTTTTGTGTACTGCTATGCACTTATGCTGCTTTTTCATTTTGCTTTCTATATACACCCTGCCGGTTGGTTGCACCTCGGTTTCACTTTCGCTGGATCCCCGCACGTCAATTGCAAGTGGAACCATTTTCCTGCTCAACCACCTACGTGAACTTTACTAACTGTCCCTCCACAAACAGTTTTTACCGTTTCGACACCGTAGGGAGGACAAGGGTGGGAGCCCGCTAGGGTCCGATTGCATGGTTCTCCCCCAGCTGCTGCATCAGGTTTCACAACCTGGTCTCGCAGAAGGCTGGCCC